TATTAGCCCTTTAGCTCTAGCACTGGGACCGTCACCTGAGCCTATTAGGGAGCACTAGCATCGTTCTCTGGGGAATTCTCCATTTGGGTTGTCTCCAAAGGCATACTAAGTGCTGTATAAAGTGGAGCTAAAGGGCGATATATATCACCCGTACTGGTTTTGGTGCTAGACTACATAGATTTTTAGCTTTAGTAGCATTAATTGATAACAAAAACAGCTAACTGCTAACTGAAATGAATGTCATTTGCTGGGTGCTTTAGAAAAAAACAGTCTAAAACCTGTAGAAACTTATAAAAATATACAACATGCATATTAAATTATGCTTTTTTGTCTAAATAGAGGGGATTTTCCATTCTCCATAATTAAATGGTTAAGACGTAAACAAAACTCAATGTGGTTTGATGTGAAAAGCTCCAATTTCGAGAAACTTACAGTGTCAGAATTGTTCGTAGTGGTGGTGATAGGAGCAAAGACACATGCAAGATGTTTATAGAAAAGACAACTTTTTCTTTCAGATTCACTACTATTTTAACGTCATAAACATATAAAACTCATGCAGGGTCGCTGGTGATTTTGGATAGTAAATAAAATGGCTATATTTGTGTTGTAGACATTGTGACCCCTGGTTTCTATCACCACCACTGTAAAGAAATCACAGTTTCTCTACAATTAACCATTTCACACCAAACCACTCTGAATGACTTTGTTTACATTCAAATTATGCAAAAATTCCGCTTTTACAGTACAAAACAAAACATCCCATTCGAAACAGCCTATGTTAGGTTTGTAGGCACAGAGGAGCTGCACTCAGGATGAATGTGTGCATTAATCTTATTAACACTACTCTAAATATTGTGATATTGAATTTTATCAGCACTAAGTGGAGTGAATGGGAAGTAGCGATCTTTCCTTCACCTGTTCACCGCTGTTATAATGAGGAATTGTAAAGGAGATGATGGAGGCAGACAGTAACACAGCAGGAGCTTTCTCATCATCATCATCATCATCATCATCATCATCTCCAAACATCTGCTGTAATGAGATACTGCATTTATTTCTGGTTGGAGATACTTTCAGCATTGCGGCCTTGAGTGTGTGTAACTGTGCGTACACACATATATATATCTGGGGATCAGATTTTCTTAAAATAATACCAAAACAATTTAGAATTAATGTATTCATTTACTGAACAAATGCACATTGTTTTTTAAGTAAAAAATCCAATATATATATATATATATATATATATATATATATATATATATATATGATGTGGCTTACATATTTGTTGGCTATTGTATTTGTTTTTTTTGTTTATTGAAGTGAAAAGAAGCAACCAACAGCAAAAAAATAATATTTTAATGAACTCAGTGCCTCAAGCCAGGCATACACCATGCAATTTTAGCCCGTTTTAGGCCCCACTTGGTCGAAGCCGTCTGAATGTCATGATCAGGCCGAATTTCAGCTTCAACAGCCATCCTTTGCATTGTGAGAGGTGAAACGATGCCCGATTAACTGCCCGAATGAGCTGAGATTGAGAAGTTGGACAACTGGATGGATTTCTTATGTCAAAAATTTCGCACTCAAACCATTCACAATCACAACCACAGTTCAACATACATAAACTGAGACAAAAAGTCGAAATTTGCGGCACCAACGTCTGTATATATCGACTTTGCTCAGTTTGACTGAACTGAATTGCAAGGTACACATAAATAAGTACAGTGATTTTTTAAAACTGGGGTCCTGACCATTGAAGAACAGGGTAACAATGCAGAGAAAAAGATGGACTACAGTCTGTAATTGTAGAACTATACCGTTTAAAATTGGAAAAGTTAGCAAAGCTGTTGTGTGGAATTCTTATGTGGTATGGGTGCAAGAGCCACTATGTTAATTCCTTTGTGGTGCACTATGTAGGGAGCAGGGAGTCATGTGAGATTCAGCCAATGTTTTTTCTCAGGACTCAGATATGCAGCATGTTGTTTTGAATGAAACAGTTTTATTGGAAGTTGTCTGTAGACAGAGCTGTCTGTAGTGGCTGCGTTTCACCTGCAGAGTGAGCACCCATGTCATGTCATATCAGCAGGAGTGATGTTGAACAGTGTGAGCACATAAATCGCAGGCTTTGTCCGAACACGATGGGCGACTCAATCGTACAGTGTGAGTCACCAAAGGAAAAGACTTCTAAAATCGTGTGTGCCTGGCTTTAGGCTTAGGCTAATTGACTCATTAGGATAAATTCTCTTCATATCTTATTTTAACACTCTTAATAATCATACTCTCCTCTAAGCAGCTGGCTGAGGATATGAAAATGGAGCAAACTGATGCCTACAAAACAGCAGAAGGCTATAAGATCTCAAAGTGCTTCCAGTTCACATTTTCCACTACCCAAAATGTCATTAAGAAATGGCATTTAAACTGTGGAAGTCAAGGCGAGATCTGGGAGACCAAGAAAACTTGCAGAAGAGCTGCTTGTATTCTGGCCAAAAAGGCAAAGTAAAACCCCCACATGACAGCAAGGGATCTGCAGAAATGTGTAGCTTACACAGGAGTGGTGGTGCACCGTTCTAATGTTGTAGTGTGTGTGTGGCTGTTTGTGTGTGTGTGTCCCTCATTACAAGGAAACTGATGCTGTGTGTTCGTGTTTCTTGTGGTGTTTTTATTTAGGCCACAATATCTGACCAGCTTTGCTGAAACACCACTGCAAAGTCCAGTCTACTTCACTATACAGCTGACAGACTTTTGGCCAAGGCTAGCTTTGTGAGTGTCAGTGGTGCAGTGCAGAAGAGTTGTAGTTACCGCTCTTGATCTAAAATGTGTTTAGCTGAGCTGTGTGATGAATCAAGGCGATAAGTTTAATAAGAGTTTCTGTGAAACTACTTCATATACAGTACAGTGAAAGATCGGACTTCATTTATTTAATTTCCAGGCAAAACGGCCATCAAGTATAAGTTACTCATTTTTCAGCATCAGAAAATAAAGCAGAGAAAAATACATATGTTGTATGTACTGATTGTCTCAACAAATATAATATCAGATTGTTCAGTAATCATGCCCTGCGATGGACTGGCGACCTGTCCAGGGTGTATCCTGCCTTCCGCCCAATGACAGCTGGGATAGGCTCCAGCACCCCACCGCGACCCAGAAGGATAAGCAGTTTAGATGATGTATGTATGTATGTATGTATGTTCAGTATTCAATGTGTCCAATCATTTACCTTTATTACAGCCTCCACTCTTTTAAGGAGACTCACTTTCAGATTCTGCAAGAAATCTGCAGACACACCTATAAAGTCCAGTCTTAGAAGTCGGTTGGATTTTCTGCTTCTCACAATTCAAGTAATCCCAAACACATTCTGTGATGTTGAGGTCTGGACTCTGGGGTGGTCAGTCCATTGTTCAGCTTCTTTGTTTGATGTGTCTGTCTCCTTTTCTCAGTGAGGCTTCTTGAACAACTACACATCCTCTTCTCATTGTCTTCTCACAGTGGAAGGATGGACAGAAACACCTGTGGATGTTTTCAGATCTGAAGCAGCTTGATCTTCTCCTCTCTCTCAAAGATGAAAGCTTTAAGTACTGTTTATCTGATGGGGACAGTGTTGGTGTCTACCAGGTCTTCCAGGTGGTTGTTAGGAGTCTCTTTGGCAAGTGGATTATATTGTACCTAATATCCTCAGAAACATCTCCCAAAAATGAATATCTTACACTTGGTTGTTTTGACTGGAAATGAAATAAATGAAGGGTGGTCTCTGACTCCTGCACAGTAATGTATTTCAATCATGATCTTTTTCAGTGTGCATGTGCACATATTCCAGGAGTGAGGAGGATACTGAGGCAGATGAGTGCGTGAGCAGTTGCTGCCGAGGGGCAGAGGTCAGAGAGGTCCACAAATGAATGGTAAGGTCAGAGGGTTTGATTCCAACTGATAACATTCTGCTCCTGAGCTGCAGAGTAATACTTAACCCCACCCCCCAGGCATCTCCAGAGGGAATACCATCTGTTAGCCACAGTCGGCGAAAACTCAAAGCCTTGTGGTTTACTGACGAAGGAAATAAGGCTGCATGTGCACTGATATATTGACAAGTTAAAGTACTACAGTATGGATTAAAGAATACTGTAAGTCTATTCAATGTATTTTTACACTAGCCAACCGCAATAGTCCTTTTCATGAGTGTATTCAGCTACTTTAAGCCACACCCACTGCTGTTCAACTGTGCACACACAGCTTGTATAATCCCCATAGACAAGCACTGACCAATACAATGGGAGCAGCCAAACATGAGCCTAGGGTCACTATGCCCAGTGGCAAGCGTGAGCTTGAGGGGTATAAAGCCCTCCAGCACTGGACTGTGGAGCAGTAGAACTGTGCTCTCTGGAGTGATGGAGCTCCATCCAGTACCTTTGGGATGAGCTGGAGCACAGAACTGACCATACAACATCAATACCTGACCTCACCAATGCCCTTGTGGCTGAACACAATCAAATCCTCACAGCAATGTTGAAGAGCAGGTGTCTACAAACACCTAGTGCTTTTTTATCAAGAGGAATTGTCTTACTGTACTGGCAGGTTATTTGCTTTACATCGAGCACTTTATTAGGAACATCTCATTGTATCTAAAATTACTGTCCATTTTATCAGCTCCACTGACCATACAGGAGCACTCTGTAGCTGTACAATTACAGACTGTAGTCCATCTGGTTCTCTGCATACTTTATTACCCTGCTCTTCAACGGTCAGGACCCACCACAGGACCGCCACAGAGCAGGTATTATTTGGGCGGTGGATCATTCTCAGCACTGCAGTGACACTTAAGTGGTGGTGGTGTGTTAGTGTGTGTTGCTCCTATATGGTCAGTGGAGCTGATGAAATGGACGATGAGTGTATGAGATGAGTCAATGAGACTGAATAAACATCAGGGGAATATAAGACATATTGCCAACAATGAGGATGTTTTCACTTGCCAATATGTAATTTTATGCAGTGTCTGTACTTGTACTCACATCTGTGTCCGGTCCTTTATCCGCTCCAGGGCAGGAGAATGTGACAAACTCATGGCAGCGCTTATGGACCACAAAACAGCACACTAAGAAAGAGAGAGAGGGGAGAGTGTTATAGTTAGAATATCAAACCTTATTTAAAGACACAGTTTCCCCCCTCAGCTCAAACGTAGTCAATCAGAAAACAGACATAGGTACAAACAAAATCCAGGCTACAGTGTGGCTGCTACACCAGTTCTTTGCTATGCTATGCGCATTTTTGTCATGATTATATATATATAAAACGGTCTGTCACACAGTGCCAGAAACCACATAAGCAAGTCTATCAGAGATTACTGAACATCTCCATGCTGTATAAAGCAAGTGTGTGATGGTTAGACATGTATCCCATAATTCGGCACACAGTGATATATGTATATTGGCAATGTTACAGCGGACACGAAATGGAGAATGTGCTATAGATGGCTCTATATAGAAACTTTTTTGAAAAGGGTTCTATACAGCACCGAAAAGCGTTCTTCTATTGTTATGATGTTAAGCTTGTAAAAAAAGATTTAACTTAACTTGTTACCCTGCTCTTCAATGGTCAGGTTTTCAAAACGGTTCTGTACAGAATCATCTACAGCACATTCTCCATCAATCTAAAGAACCCTTTCATGATGCAACGAACCCTTTAATCATGCAAAGGGTTCTTTGTGTGCTCATGGTTTTATATAGAACCACTTTCTGTACTAAAGAACCCCTGAAGAACCTTTTATACTACTACTGTTCAATCACTTTGAATCAGTTGTCAAATTAATTTCTGTTTGTTTTACATTTCTACTGATAATTTGAAACTTCTGAAGATTTGGAGTCCTGACTTCTTATAATCATCTTATACATTCTTCTTTAGCCAAATTGGCTTTACATCGCTGCAGACAGTCCAAACTCGTGAACAGTAGTGTATATCAGAGCGAGTGTAAGGACAGTTTGGGTTACTGTATTCTGCAGCGCTACACCATACCTAGTTTATTAGTCAGAGTGCAAAGCAGCGGGTCTGTGTGATGAAACGGGCTGTTCAAAATGAGCACCACGGGGCACAATTACAGCTTCATTTACTCCTCACTATTAATCTCACACATCCACCTGTAATCCTCAGTATTAATCTGCTCCAAACACCATGAAGATAAATAGGATATTTGTCAGCCAACAAACATCGCAAGAGCAACAAAACATTTCCAACAGCCAGTTCTCATGTATCTGCCTTAAATGCAGCTGTGTTTTTTTAAAGCTCCTTAAATTAAGTTAAATGCTAAATACAGTTACTCACTGGCCACTTTAGTGGAAACACCTCTTTACTACTTCCACTCATTGGCCACTTTATTAGAAACACCTCCCTTCTACCTCCACTCACTGGCCACTTCATTAGAAACACCTCCCTTCTACTTCCACTCATTGGCCACTTTATTAGAAACACTTCCCTTCTACTTCCATTCAGTGGCCACTTTATTAGAAACACCGCCCTTCTACTTCCACTCACTGGCCACTTTATTAGAAACACTTCCCTTCAACTTCCCCTCACTCACTGCTTTATTAGAAACATCTCCCTTCTACTTCCACTTACTGGCCGCTTTATTAGAAACATCTACAATGGACTATAACAATAAGAATGCAGCCATTTTTTGATAAAACATAAACACATGGTGTTTCGCTTTTATTGTCTTCCACATTTGTGTGTTGAGTGTATTTCTAAATATTATTCTGAATTCTAAAATTGTAAAAATGAGATTTGATGATGCATCAAATCATTTCCAAAAAAAATTCTGATCAAATGAAATCAGCGAAGGATGGCTTTAATGCTGAAAATGTCTGGGGCAGATGTCTGGATTCGGGGACATGCCACTAATTTTTAAAAAGATTTTACTCTAATTGTGCTCTTGTGAATGACAGGCTCTACCCAGACTCTCTGACTGTAGCTCTGAAGCTAATGTCCAAATCAGGCTGAATTAATCAGCACACATACACAAGACCTATTACTCAGCACTTTCTCACAGACATAATTCAGAAAGGGAGCATGAAGAGTGAAGTTGTAAGAGAAAAACAGACTCATAAATAAGAGTAAAAGCCCCAGTGGAGCACAAACAGGCTGCAGGCAGCTCATCTGTTAAAGCACACACACACCATTTCCCTCAGCACTGAGAACACACACCACCCAAAAATCTAATATTCCGGCTTATAATTATGTTACTATACATTATATATATTATAAATGCGTTTCTAACTCAATATTTATGTTATAGTTTCAGCAGAGCAAAGAGGCAAACAGGAAATCTGCTACTGTGGGCTAACGCAGACCGTTTATCAGCAGATGGGCCGCACGCCAGCAAGGTGAGTCCAGGCTTTAACCCCTTAAAATCCCAGGCTAATTACATATTAAGTCCTATTATTCAGTAACTACAGGGACTCCAATGCAAACTGGCTGAGCTATTCTTAGGTGTCATCAAACCCCTGTCCATTTAAGTGGTTAAAGCAGCTACAGGCGCAAGTAATAATAAGTAAGTAATATTTTCATGTTCCTTTTATTTCACACTAGCTTGTGTATAAGTACACGCACCGTCCAATTTTACTTTTTTGAACACTCTTCAACTTCCACTGACTGGCCACTTTATTAGAAACACTTTCCTTCAACTTCCACTGACTGGCCACTTTATTAGAAACACTTTCCTTCTACTTCCACTCACTGGTCATTTTACTAGAAACACATCTCTTCTACCTCCACTCAGTGGCCACTTTATTAGAATCTCCCCCCTTCTACTTCCACTCACTGGCCACTTTATTAGAAACTCCCCCCTTCGACTTCCACTCACTGGCCAGATTAGTAGAAAGTCCTCCTTTCTCCTTCCACTTACTGGCCACTTTATTAGAAACACCCCCCTTCTACTCCCACTCACTGGCCACTTTGTTAGAAACACCCTCCTTTGACTTCCACACACTGGCCACTTTATTAGAAAGACCTCCTTTCTACTTCCACTCACTGGTCACTTTATTAGAAACACCCCTTCAACTTCCACTGACTGGCCACTTTATTAGAAACACATCCCTTCTACTTCCACTCATTGGTCACTTTATTAGAAACTCCCCCCCTTTGACTTCCACTCACTGGCCACTTTATAAGAAACTCCCCCTTTGACTTCCATATATATATATAATAAGCATTTTAATGTTACTGAGAACATTCTGTACTACTATTCTGCCAGATCACTACATATGTCCAACATGATGGACACTCGGTCTGAGCTGCATTTTTCTTTTCATTCTGAATGTCACGGCTGTGTTCTTACTGTTACATTCAGGAGTGAAAAACCTGCAGTTTGACTTGCATTGAATAGAGAACAAGTTCAGGCTTTTGTTAGTGCTCTATCACTCCTAACATAAGCACAGCAGTTGTCCGACAGTTATTGCAGAAATAACAGTTCACATCTCTCCTTTTCAATCAGCAGCTCATCAGGAAGCCTTCGTTTTCTGTTCCAACACCAGAGCGAGAGAACAAGGCCAAATCTCCATCTGAGAACACTGGGCACTGGGTTATTTCATAAAGAGAGCGAGAGACATTGTTCCTAAACCGAACAGTCTGAACTTGCTTCAAATATGTATTGCCTGTTATTTTTATAAATAGACTAAATAGATAAACAACAACAGTAGATAACCATATGTCATATAGGCCCAATCCCATTTCTTATTTTCACTCCTACCCCTTGTTTTCGAGTGTCACCTCGCCCCTTGGAACTGAGTTACAAGGGATGGTGGTTGAACTCTTCCTCTATGAAATGGGACCCTCAAATAAAGAAGAACATCACTTCATTAACAGGCTACTAGCGGTGCTCTGTAGGCGACCCTGCCCGTCTGCAGAGCAGATAGCAGAGGAGGGTAGAGTTCAGGAACCTCATTGCTGGGCTTTAGTTACATTTAGGGCACCATATGCCTTCAAAGGGGGTGCGACAATTATTTATTATCACCCACACCTAACTATTCAGTGATATGAAGCTGAAGTCAGTTATTCACCAGCTTCTCATTCAAATTTTCCCATTCCACCTTAAATGGAGCAGCAGTTACAGGAACAGGAAATTTAGCTAGCTACCGAGACATCAGCAAACTATTAGCAATTTGTTATGCTTGTTATGAAGAAAAGGACTATAATACATTGAAACGATATTAATCTAAGATAATACAGTAGTTATTGTAATTTTTTATGGAGAAAACACTCACATTTGTGGGTTTCTTTGGTCACTTGTACAGCCATTTTGTCGTTTTTTCACTCTGCTGCAGTGTGCCTCTAAAAAACCTCGGTTTGGAGGCCTATGTAGCCCTAACACTTCGCCCTACCTCTCTGTCTCAAAAAAAAATGGGACACCCTACTCCTAGATGTGAATGCGCAAAACAGAGGGGTAGGGCTAAGTAGTAGAGGTGAGGGGTGAAATAGCATTGGGCCATAGTGTCCAAAACCACAGGAATATTCATGATATTTTTCACATGTGATAACGTGAAGTGTGCGAAAAGCATTTGTGAAATTCACGTGACTTTTCTGTAAATGAGGTGACGCTTGTTAGCTCTGTTAGCTCATTAGCTCATCTGAAGAGGCAGCCTCTGTTACTCACCCAACACAAAAAACTACCCATTTCGTTCAGCTGTTTTTGAAAAACACAACACGTTCCTCTGCGTTTTGTACACCAGTGCTGTCGCCTGAAACGTTAAAGGGGAATTTCACTAATTTTTCAAAATTTCTGTATAATTCAGTCATTAAGATGTAAACAAAGTCATTAAAGTAGTTTGATGTGAATGATTGCGTTGAGAAACTTGCCAACTCAGACGTATTCACAGTGGTGGTGAGAGAAACCAGGGCTCGCCATGTCTACAACACTAATAAGGCCATTTACTATCCCAAATGGTCAGTGAACCCACATGTGTCTTCTGAGTTTTATTATATGTATTGTTGATCATGGTAAAATAGTGGCAAATCTGGAAAAATACATTTTTAGGACTACTTTGTTTACATCTTAACCTCTTAATTATGCTCAAAATTTTAAAAACTGGTGGAGTTTCCCTTCAA